TGAGACACTTGGGGAATTACTGTTCAGAATCTAGGAGCTGTGCTGGTGTTACCCAGGCCTAGGCCTCTGTGGTTGAGCCTCACCCCACTCGTCTTGGGGAGTGGCTTGGTTCTGTTTTCTTTTTTCGCATCATGTTATTTATTTACTTTTCTGGAAATTTTCCTTAAGAAGACCATTAGATTTTTGTCTCCCAGCTTCTTTACCATGAAGGTAGAAAATTAATCTTTTAATCAGAAACACTACAATATAATGTGATTTATGAAAACAAGAGGTCTTTAAAAACCACGTCTTAGTTACTTTTCTCTCCCAAGACTCAAAGGAGGACAAGTTTCTTTGGTTTACAGTTAGTGGAGGTTCCAGTCCCTAGCTGGCTGGGCCTCAGACAGGGCAGCACCTGGAAGAGGAGTATCACAGAGGAGAAACAGCTCATTGCAGGCAGAACACAGCAAAAGCAAGCAAGGGACCTTCGCAGATTTTTCGGCCCCTTTTATATTATTTTTAGGCTATTGGGATTAGGATGGTGCCAAACCAATCAGTGGACTGATTTAGTAATCACACACCTTAATTCTAGTGCCTTTAATCCCTAGCACTGAGCCATAGATCAGTCACACACTCTAGATTGAGCTACCTCTGAGCCCTCCCACCCTACTCATGACTGCATGAGTCTTCGGGGGACATCTAGGCACAAGCCGTAACAAACCACGAACAGTAGTGTGGTGTATCCAGACCTCAGTCTCTTGGATCCCGAAAAATACAATTGTAAAACAGTGATTATCTTCACAAAATCATGAAGGATGAATATGAGATGATGACAAAATTAAGGCATCCTAGGGAGAAAAGCTGGGTCTAGGAACTGCAAATTAGAAAATGTGTCATTGTCTATGGACAAAATTCTGGAAGACATCAATATGCTGATAACTGTAAGTGCTTAAAAAAGGAAAAGATGATTACTAGGAGCCAGTTATGGAAGCAGGGACCTTGTTGTGCTCAGAAATTCTACCTTCAAACAAATATGCAAATTAGCTTTTGACATTTGCATTGACCACAGTGCAAACCATCAATGAAATGCTATAACTAATGAAAAAAGTAAGATTCAATATGCTTTGCTAAAAATTTGGTTCTCAGGCATAGGAAAAGTTTACTTAAATATGCTCTTTGCTCTTCAGATCATTTTATGAAAGCACATTGAGCTCTTTGAACTGCATTTTAAAGGAGTTGTCGGCATATGTACAAAAGGAGGTTAACAAGGAAGATTGAACTTGGATTTACTGAGCAAGGAACTCACGGTGTAGGGCATTGTGTTAAATGTGGTGTGTGAGAGGGAGTTCATACTTTATGCTGTGAAGAGGGCATTGCTGTGCCTACTTTAGAGGAGGAAGTAAAGGGTTGTAACAGGTGAGTAGCTTGCCCATAGCCAGCAGCTGGAAGCAGTGAAGCTAAGATTTGAAACTTGGAGCTGTCTCTTCCCAAACTCATGTGTTTTCCTCAGAACAAACATGTCAGCAATAACCATCCTAGAAAATGGTCTGCTGTAGTTGATGAACTGTGAAGGAAAGGTGGCATTTGTCTTTTCAAAATGAAGGGAGTCAGTAAATACAAACATGATGGCTATTCCCAAATAGCCAGGTCATTGCCGTCTGTTGGAAGAAGCCTCAGCCTTACTGTCTAAGGATCCAGAAGATTGACCTAGGACTGTAGTGTGAAAGAGTAAGAGCACTTACCATTTATGAACCATTGCTGCCAGCTAACCTCTCCACTTATACCCTTTAAGTCCCATTTTACAGGTAAAGAACAAGGAAAAGACCAAAATAATGAATCTGAGTCTACCTGCCCCATTCCCCAGGGCCAATGTTCCTGACCATTTTCTTTCCCTTCATTCCCCTGGGTAGATTTCCAATCAACATTAGCAAAACTTTCCAAGTAATTAGTTTCCCAAAAAAGGAATGGAGTGTCTCAGGGAGTCAGTTGCCTATCCTTGATAAATTCTCACCTACAGGGAGGCAGGGTCCTAGGTCTGGCAACCTCACAGATCTCTTTCTATCCTAAACTCTTATTTTTCCCCTGTGGTGCTACAAGAAATAAATTGACCTGTGGATTAATAGTCTAGGATAGAAGGTATTAATGCTGAGCCTGGTGGTTCTTTATCACTTTGTCAAACTGAAATATGAGGATAACCCATATCCAGTTTCTCTAAGCTATTGCTTATATTTCATCCTCTGAAAGTTTAGTAAGTTTATGGACTGAAGAATCTGCAGAAGTTTATTGTTATGCCTTTAAAGAATAACAGTTACATCAATAACTGAAAATTATAATTCTGCACATATTTTGATTTTGATTTTTGTTTTTGTACCGGGGATTGAATTTAGGACCTTGTGCTCGCCACACAGGCACTTATGCCACTGAGCTATCTCCCTGGCCCCCATATTTTGAAATAAGAGTAGGAGATCTTAGGAAATTTGAAAAGAGAATAAAGCCCTACAAAATCTGAGGAATTGTTATTTTGTGAACTACTGTGTTATCCTGTCCTTAATAATTAGGGTGAAAGTTGAGAAGAATGGCCAAGACATCGTTCAGAAGCAGGCTCAGAAACACTAGTATTGTTTCTAATTTTTCTTTTTTGCCATTTTTTAATTCTCTTTTTAAAAAAGAAAAGAAACACACTAGTCTTAAGGATAAAGACAAAAGGAGCAGAGAAAGGCCCATCTTTCCTATTGCCTGAAACACATCTGCCCCAACACAAACCCCCTCATTCACACTTTTTAAAACAACAAAGTAATGGAGAGTGACTATTCTTGGAATACATTTCTAGACCTGGGAATTTGGGCTTGAGTCTTTAATTTGTTGATTTATGAGTTTGTTGATGAATGAAGTCATATGGAAAAACTTTCTGCTTCTTGGTTGTGTTGGTGGAAACTTTTCAAAGCAATAACTGGGAGACTTTTGGTTAGCTAGAGGTTATTTACTTTTTATAACGACACATTATGTTTTTGAACTCAGACACAGCAAGCAGGGCAGTCTCCAGAGAGAATGGCCACATGCGCTCATAGGTTGTCATCAGGCTTTCTGAAAAAGGGCTTTGTCTATTGAAATTAAGTTCACCTTAGCTTGCTGCTGTCCCTGTGTGCCTTCCACATCTCTGGGTCTGGTTGAGATGCCAGCTCACATTCATCTCTGCCATATCAGTCTTCAACCCAGTTCTTGGTCCTTAGGGTATTACATAATAAATTAAAAACTCAAAATCAAAGAGTTTTATGTGTGATGTATCTGAACTAACTGGAGCTGACTTCCTGTGTGGAAAGTAAATAGTCTGGCTGATGACCTTGTGGGTGCTAATAAACAACAGTGGGAGTGAGTCCCCAGCTCCTAAGAGGGCACTGGGAGCCTCCCATGTGCCAGTCACTGTGCTGGTACTGGGGAAGCTAAGGAAGGGTCATTGTTCCTTCAAGGAGTCCTATGTAAACACCACACTGTGAGATACATGCTGTGGCACATGTGAGCCCAAGGGCTGCAGCAGTTCAGGGTTCCTCAGCCAAGTCTTGAAGAACGCCAAGGGTGTTTGTTCACAGAGGTCACAGACTGGAACGTGTTCACAGCTAGTCCTGCAGGCCCAAACAGATCAGGACTCTGGAGAGAGATCAGAGCAGAGAGGAGCTTGGACTTCCTCTTGAAGAGAGAAAATGACAACAAAACCAGGCTTTTTAAGTCCTTGAGTGAGTTACTAGTGTTATCATTGAGGGAGCAGTGTATTGTAGAAAGGATGTGGCCCCAGTGGTGGTCATGAAGAGCAATACTCTCTCTGGATCACCCCAAAACTCATACCACTTGGGGGCACATCCCCTACACCCCTTCCCTCCTTGTGCCCACAGCAGTTAGAACTTATGGCTCTGATGTTGGCCTGTTTAAGGTCCACTTAAGATCCAGCACTAGGGCTTTGTTTATAGTCTTTCTCTTTTCTTGCCATCTCTGCTTTTGTCCCTACTTCCTCAGAACCCAAGAGTGACAGTGATCCTTAATCTTAAGAAAGCCAGGCTTCTGCGCAGATGCCTCTGGTGGCTTCAGAACTTTCAAGGCCTTTTGTGTCCTGCGCTCTGGTTGCTCCCATGACACTCCTTCCACTTGAACTACACTGGCTGTTTCTCCAGCCTTTTCAGCAGCTTTTTCATACCACAGGGCTTATAATCGCTGCATTCCCAGTTCTCACAGTACTTTTTGCCCAGAGATCTCTCTGGCAGGGTCCATTGCATAATCCAGGTCTCTGCATCTCTCTGAAACCTTCTGGCCATGCTATCTAAAATAGCAGCCCCCATTGTCCTCTGTTCGTTATTTGGCCTGCCTTTGCTCCAGAGCACTTTTGTATTGATGTCTACATGTAAGCTCCATGAGCCCCAGACTTTTTTCCATTCATTCTCACTGCCTCCCCAGTGGCTGAGATTGTAGCAGGTCCCCAGTGCACTCAGAGCACTGGTTGGTTTACAGAATGAATATACAGGAGCCATGGTCTTGGTCCAGGAGGGTGGGAAGTGAAGCTGCTTTCACAAGGGACCTATGAATGAAAAGGAGTGCTCTGATTTTCCCCTGCGTGGCTGGTATTGCTGATTCCCCAAGTCCCTTCATTTGAGGTAACCATGAACAGGTGTCAGAAAATTTGCACACAGTTCTCTGGGATCAGTACAGATTTGATGCTCTAATAAGAAAAAAATGATTTTTCCCTCTGACACAAAGTTATCAGATGAGAATCCAGCTCAGGAGATGGCTGCTCACAGCATGGGTTCTGTCTCCTACCCAGGTCTACTCCCTCAAATCTGAAAGTCCTGGGAAACCCGTGTTTGTGCTGAACAGTGCCTCCTGTGCTGACTTTTTGATCCCCTAGGGAGAAGATTTATTTTGAGAACTCTGCTTTAGTGAGCTCTATCCTCTGAGTGTCTTTACTCAAGAGATTTCCTGTAAGTGATATGAACCTAATGGTTTTACAGTGCATTTTTCTGTTGTTTTTCCCCCAGGATCTTCTACGTCTCTCATGACTCCCAAGATTTGAAGATCTTCAGCTATATCGCTCGAGATGGTGCCAGTAATATCTTCAGGTGTAATGTCTTTAAATCCAAGAAGAAGGTAAGGGGACAGTCATTGGTCATTTGAGGTTTGCCTCTGATAGACTCAGTGCACCCCCAACATTGGCCCTATTGAACATTTGGAGATGGCTGTTTTCATGTCAGACACGGGGAGCTGTCTGAATAGCCTGCCATTGCTCTTATGTCAAGATGCTGTCTTAGGTTCATCTGAGGTTTATACTTAGCCGTATATGGATAAATGGATAGGGATCAACTGTTGGCTAAGTGCTGTGGGACAGGAGCAGCAGATGGCTCTTAATCCTAGGGATTCGCCAGTGGGCTTCAACAGGACATTTGGAATCTGGTTTAGATTTAGGTCATGAGATTGGTTTTCTTGATCTTTGAGTAAATGCAACTTTTACTCTTTTGCCTCATTTCTCCAGGAGCCTAACACAAGTAACTGGCAATTTGGATCCCTCCTTGGGGGTTAAAAGACCTAAGATTTAGCCACATCTTTCCACTGGAACACTGAATATTAGGCAGATGATGATGTCACTCTGAGTCTTAGCTTCTTTGTATATAATGAGGAAGATAATCAAAACCAGCATTTCCTAAAATATATTTTATAAAACTTTTATTATCTAAAATGATTCATATACTTCTAAGAGGATGAAATTAAAAAAGCAAATAAATATATGAAAAAATACTCCACATCACTAGCCATCTGCGAAATGCAAATTAAAACAGCATTGAGATACCATCTCACCCCAGAAAGAATGGCTATCATAAAGAAATCACCCAACAACAAATGTTGGAGAGGCTGTGGGGAAAAAGGAACCCTTCTCCACTGCTGGTGGGAGTGTAGACTGGTGCAACCGTTATGGAAATCAGTATGGAGACTCCTTAGAAAAGTTGGTTTGGAAATCCCTTTTAAATCAGCTATTCCTCTACTGGGAATTTTCCCGGAGGATCTGAAAACATCATATCATAGTGATATATGTGTGCCTATGTTTATAGCAGCACAATTTGTGATAGCCAAATCTTGGAAACAACCAAGATGCCCATCACCTGAGGAATGGTTGAAAAAGATGTGGTATTTTTACACAATGAAGTATTACTCAGCTATAAAGAATGATAAACTCGAAGCCTTTATATTGAAGTAGATTCCACTTGAAGATGCACTCATAAGTGAAATAAACCAGACACACATGTGTAAATATCACATAGTTTCCCTAGTATAAGAACTCAAAAGAAGAAATACAAATAGAAAGGTATAATACAAGTAAAAGGAAAGCAAGAACTCGAGGACTAACTAATTAAGAGAGGGAAAGGAGAAGAGCTAGGAAACATGACAGTGACAAGCCATACAGTTATATGTAGAAAATGGGCAAGGCAATGATCCTGAGAATCTCCAGAAGATGTTTGAATCTAGAAGTTAATTGGAGAGATTCTCATCCTGACTAACTATATATACTGATACCTGTGAACTAAGCAACTACACTGAAGATGGTAATCTGTAATAGTAGTTTCATGCTTGGAGTGCCTGTCATTCTGGTCTTTTGAATACGGACTGCTTGTCATGACATGTCAGTTGCTGCTGCACTGTCTCTCGGGTAGATGGTTGTTCAAAAAGAAGGGGGTGGTGAATGAAGGCAGGAGACAGGAAAAGGAATGTTGTGGGACTGTCCTGCTTCAAGGTTGTATATGGTTAGATTTTTGGACTTATGTGTAAACATAAGAATTATATAATTCTTTATGCCTATTTTTAAAAAATATATTCTAATTTTTAAATGTTTTTTCATCATATTCTGTAGGCACTTAAAGTTCAACATATCAATACTTTATGAAAAATACCTGTTTCATGTTATGCCTAAGATGTTTGATATTCAGACAGAGAGTGAGATTAAGCTTAACAGCCTAGGTTGTATGGTAATAACAATAAGCTTGTCTTCTGGAGGGTTAACAACCTAAGTTTGCAGACCAAAATTAGAGAAAAAGGAGGGCCGCAAGGAAAGTCAACATTTTGGCCCTAGCCTTCTAAGGTCAATTAAGATTCAGGACATATGAGAACTTGTACTGTAATGTCATGTAACTCGGTAGTGTCCCAAATTTTCTGATTAAGGAGATTATGGGGCCAAAGAGGAAAGTGATCAATGATGTAGAGTGTGCCTAAGGAGAGTCACATGGAGAGAAAACTTTCTCTCAGGCTTTCACAGAGAGCACATTGGCCAAGCAATGGCCGTGACTCATCCACATGGCTGACACTGACAGAGGTTCTAAGGTACAGGATCTCAGGATAAATCCTGAGGGTATTTCACTGATCTTATCAGACCCAAAAGGTACAACTCTTGTTGCATAGGTCTCACTTTACCTTGGTCTTAACCATCCAGCAGAAAAGTATAAAAATGAAATATAAAAAGTAAAGCTATGCTATTATGTTGAGCTGTAGGATACTCAGGTCAACAATTTCTGACATTGCCAGTGAAGCGGAAGACCCAATACTATTATGGGCTACTGGACTCTTAGAATATTTTGCTGAGTTTACACACCTATAGTATTCAAATAACAGAACTTAACCAAAAAAGGGGATACAGATGAATGTCCATTTTTTATGTGTGTATTCAAAGTGGTTAGGATAGATATATAGTTACATTCTCTTAATGAATAGAAGGATTTGTTCTAATGGTGTTTGTAAATAGGATATCATGTCTGCATCTTGTACAGCAAATAACCACTAGGAAGAATGTATGCAATGTGTTAATTATTGAAACTGTCTTACCAATTTGATTTGAAACTGTCTCTTTGCTATTTGTTTCGCAATAAAATTATGGAAAAAAAAAAGAAACATCTAGGCAAGTAGTGGACTACTGAGCTATATCCCTAGCCTTCAGGCTTTTGTAATGCAAATCTTGGAATTAGATGGAAAATGCTAGAACTGGAAAGATGAGAGGAAAAAGTGGGCAAGTTGCCACACTTCACTTGCAGATAATAGTGTAAATGAGACAAAAGAATGTGAGGGCAGGTTGAGCTGAATATTAAGCTGGTAGAAATGCATAGAAATGCAGGAAGGGAGGGAGAGAGGAAGAAAGTAGAGCCAGAGGAATGGGAGATGCCAGAATTTAGGGCTTAGACGAGTGAAAGGCTCTTATATGGCTCTGAGGTATTAGAGACCTGGGGAGGAGAGAAAAGGACATGCAGAATGATGCTGCAACTTATAAATTGGATCATTTGCAATATTCTTGGACAGTGCAACCAAAAACTAAAGTTTTCTTAATTCATTTTGAGTCCTTGACTGTGCCTTTGACATTCAACATAGTGCTTTTTCTTTTTCTCAGACAAGGTCTTGCCTTTTTCTCAGACGTGGCCTTGAGCTCACTATGTAGCCCAGGTTTGCCTTGAACTTGCAGTGATCCTCTTGCCTCAGCCTACTGAGTGCTGAGAATATAGGTGTGCATGACTACACCTGACTTTGACTTCAGTTTTGTATGTAGACTGGACCATGTAAACTTTGGGATTTGCTGGTCACAAATAACAGGTTATCATTTACCATGGATTTTAATAGTTAATTAATTTTATCTTTATAATACATATCTAAAGAAACTAAGACAGGTAATTTTCACCTATGGTTTTACAAATGAGTAAAGTGAGGCCCAGAGAAGTAAGTGACTTGCCATGTTCCCATGAAGAGGCACTGGCTGCATCCAGAGAGACATGCAGAACGAAAGACTTTTGAGGAGGAAACCTCAGTAGAGGACAGCACTGTATGCATTTTGTCATTGGATCTAATGTCGCCATCAGGCCCAGTGGAACCCTCTGTTCCTCCAAAAAAACATGAATGTAAGGACAATCAGTGCCTACCCGGATGTTTGACCTTGATGGGAAGCCCAGACTCAAGTTCCTGTTGCTTGATGAAAAGGAATAGCAGTCTTGTTTCCTACCATCTCAGATTTTTTTTCCCACATCTCAGAGCTCTCAGCTACCTCTGATGTCTGGCTCTTCTATTTTCCGTGTTCCTTTTGCTTTTACCTACTGAGACTGTAGTTCCTCACAGAGCTGGTTCTCAGGCCTTGTGCTGGCCTGAGGCCATACAGTCCAGGGAATTCTTTGCAGACAGCCTGACTGCAATTTTGTTGCGGCCCAACTCTAGGTGGAAGGACCAGTTTCCAAGCCAAGAGGAAGAATGAATTGTTCGGCACAGGAAGCAGAGTTGAGGAGGAGTGGGGAACACATCTGTGAGATTTTGCACACCATCCTGGTTAGCCTCCAGATAGGATGATTTACTTCATTATAAAATACTTCTGGTTTGGAGGAATAATAGTTAACTTGGAAATGAGTTTTAATTGACAAATCCTAGGAATATTTAAGAGGTGAGGGGGAAAGCACAAGACTCCCCAAGGAAATGAATCTTACAAGGATGTTTCAAGGAGTTCAGAGGTCACAGCAAGACTTTTTGACTGGAAGCCAGCAGACCTGGATGTTCTCCAGAGTCCTGTCTTGTAGTGGAGGAGACTGTAGGAGAGCTTCGTATAAGCTCCTGGCTCCTCCGGAGCTCCGACTGTTGCTCTTTCACATCACACTGTGTCCTCTGTGTGCGTGTCTGTGGCATATTTCTTGGGTAAGCCTCTGCTGTGAGTCCTTCCTACTCTACAGCCCTCCATGCAAAGGGTTGTCACTGCTCTCCCACTAGAAAGTGCCCTGTACCTTGTCCCCAGCAGAGATACTATTCTGTGTCTATGGATCATCCTAGAGTGAGCAGAGTGAGCCCAGAGCGATCCCACTCACAAAGGCAGCCTGTGTGGTTCCCATCCTGGGACATTTAACCTTGAGCTGGCTTTTTCTAGGTGGGTTCACACCAGAAACTGGATAGCAGGATATTGCAGGAAGTTAACGTGCTACCCCTTCTCCTTCTCCTACTCTAGATTATCTATGTTGTAACTCTATGTTAAGTCCAATGATATCTTTCCTGTTTTATTATTTGCTATATACCTGGGACTATTTTTATAGATGGAAAAATGGAATCCTAAGGCCTGTAACTTGTGTAAGTTACTCATGATAATTGGT